AAACAACCCTTTCCTTTGATTTGCCTACCCACATCAATCAAAGATTAAACAACACTTACCTCCCTAATTATGGGAACCAACCTGATCGTCTCATTTGGGGCCTAACTCCCATAGGCCTCTTCAGTGTTAGCTCGTGCTACAAAGTGCTCAGCAAATCCATACAAGGTGCTAATCAACACGGTTGGATTTGAAAAATACACATGCTGCCAAAAATAAATATTTCTTATGGTTGATTAGCCATAACAGATTGCCTACCAAACTATACCTCCATAACTTGGGAATTACTACCTCTAACATATGCACAATCTACCAAGCTGTATAATCCACATCTTACTACATTGCACACACGCCAATCTTTGTTGGCAAGACTTAAAACTAGGGTCCCCAATTCATTCTATAAAAACAACTCACTCTCCAACCATAGTGTGGCTAAAACAACTAATTCTCCAAAAGGGCACACATACTTCTAGTGGCATTCCTTTAAAAGAGCTAATTCCTTTCGCATTATGGCATCTTTGGAATGTTAGAAAATAAAAATTATTTTAAACGTATGAACCAAAAGCCTTCTATCGCAACAATTCTCCAAGTCACTAATGAATTTCACTATCTTACAAGTCACTCAACCAAATTTTGCAATAAGTTACCTATGTATGTTAAATGGAACCCGCCCCCAGATCGAGACTTTCAACTAAATACGGATGGGTCAGTCAGTCATAGAAAATCAATAGCAGATTTTGGTGGGTATTCAGAGACCACACAGGCAACTGGATCATGGGTTACGCTGGACATTATTCGTTGACTAACGTTATCAATATTGAGCTCATGGCTTTACTATGAGTATTGCAAATTATAATTATGCACAACCTAACTCCTCTGGAAATTCAAATGGACGCACAAGAGGTAATAAAAATGCTATAAAATACTACATTAATAGACTCACCCTTGTTAATTGATTGCAGATTCCTGATCCAACAACTGAGTAATCCACGACTCAGTCATGCCTACAGGGAGCAAAATATGGTAGCGGATAAACTAGCTCATTTTTTAATGGAATTATCGGGCACCACCATCACCTTTTTGGCACATCCTCTGCACTTCATCTGGCAGGAACTTATGGATGATAAGCACGGCTGTGGGAAACTCAGAATGGTTACTACAAGGAACAACATCTTGCTTGGCTCAATGCAATCTTTTTGTACCATCACTGACGTGCCTTCCACAAGTAATGCCTCTAGCAGTGACTCCCACGCAGGATGCCCAACATAGTAGTCTTAGTTTTTGTCATAGTGTACAACGGCACAATACTGTGGATAGAAGTTCGACTAGGTCTTTTTGTAATACTGCCCAAGGGTAAAAGCTCCCTGTAACGCATGTTTAATTAATATAAAGTAGTCTTTCAAACAAAACAAAGAAAAGTTTCTCAAATCGGCTAAAGCGTGAAAATATCTTGTGTGGATGCATCTCCCTAACTTGTTTAATATCTGAATTTTCTATGTGGTGTAGATTGATGACAGCGATAGATGCTTCTTATGTCTCTTTTGCTTTTTGCTTTTTCTTTTTTTGTTGGGTTATTCTATGTTTTTCCAATAAAGAGATACATATACTAACAGAAAAGATCTCAAGAAGGCAATCAAATGGTCCCTGCAAAATTATAGAGAAAAGACCACATTTACTATCAGACAAGAACAGTCAGTTTAAAGAACACAGACCACCAAATACTGTGGTAATTAGTCAGAATCTCACGGCAAAATTAATTATCCCGGAATTTGCACTTCTTATAGGGATACAAATAATATTATAATCTCTGGAATAACTAATTGGGAGATTAGTTATACGGTAATTTTAACGGAACCAAACGGGAATAAACTCATTTCAAATTTAATTTCCGGATTAGTTATCTCTTATCTCTCGTACCAAGCTAAAAGTCTAAAATGAATACCAAATATAGGGTGAATTGTTTTTTATTTAAAAAAAAATGTATTTGATCACATACCAGATACAGAATCCAATATCTCTTCCTCTTCTTTTCACTTGTTAAATCAATAAGGTACTCCCTAATTAATTAATACTTTGCACGATTAATATAAATATAGTAATCCAATAAAATGCACTATCATTCAGTCAATGTTGGCGGTGTAATAATTATAATAGTCAAATTATGTTGAAGATGCACAACTACTATATTAGTGGAGCAATAAATGCACCACACACAGTTGTTTATTATGTTTAAACCTTTCTGTATTTCCTATGATATTTTAATACCTATAAGTAGAAACATCATCTCCTCCACTAATTTGATGTCCCTTACTTTTCAATAGGGCTGTCAAATTTGGCCCAAGCCCAAATGATCCGCCCAATCCGTTCAAGGTTGGGTTGGTTATTGACTCGCCCATTTATTGAACTTAGCTCATCTTGACCCAACCCATCTCAATCCATTTAAAGTTGGACTAATTTTTAACCCAAATTGATCCATGAGTAAGTTTGTCAAAATATCTTAGAAATAATTTTATTTTTTGTTTAATATTTTAAATATGACCATAACAAAAGCAAAAAAAACCTTATTTAGTAATTATACAATCAATAAGAAAATAACACATATTAATTAAAGTTTAATAAGAGTTGGGCGGGTTGGGTTATGACCCGAATTTTAACCCATCTTGACCCAACCAATCTTAGCCCAAGTAACTTTTGGGCGGGTCATTTGACCCGCCCAATTATTGACTTGGGTGACCCGCCCAATTATTGACTCAACCCATTTTGACCCGTCCAAAATTGACCCAACCAGCCTATTTGACACCCCTATTTTTCAATGAATTACCAGATGCAAATCATCTGTACAATATGAATCTTAAAAGGTTTGAATTCACTGGTATTTTATATTATTCTCTACTTATTTTATTAAAAAGCAATTTGGTGCCCAAGGTATTTCGAGTTCACGCAGGGTTTAGAAAAAGGTCGCACATCAAAGAGTGTAATATAGACGGTCTATAATAATGCAAGTATTAGTGGTTGCTTCAACGATTCGAACAAGTGACCTATAGGTCACAGAGAGATAAGTTTATCGTTGTTTCAAAGCTCACCTTCCCTTATTTTACAAATAACCTTTAAATAAAAGTAATATTAGAAAACTAGCATGAGTAATGGAATTGAAACGATACAAAGAAAATTAGCATGATTTCCGCGATAAATATCATTTCTTCACCTTAATACAGGTTGATACCTACTTAATTTGTTTTTTTCTTAATCCTAGATCATTCTTCACACGCATTCTCTTTGTTATCGCAAAAAAGGGAAAGAAAGTTAAACTTGACTCAACTCTGACTTTATTTAGATATAAAATTGCAGACATTTCTTCACTTATTTGCAAACTTACCAAGTTATTGTTTCAAGTTTGACAATATCAGATACTCCCTCCAGTCCATAATAAGTGACCAATTTATTTTTTTATTTTGGTCCAAAATAAGTATCTATTTATATAATTAAGAAAGAATTCAATTTGTTTTTACAAGATTACCCTTATGTACATATCCCTAAAAAGTTTTCTTACTCCTCACATTAAATATTTAATTAAGGATAATTTAGTCATACTAGGTATTTTTGTATAGAATTTAGTATTTTCTTAATGGGCGTATCAAAAACAAATTGATCACTTATTATGCACCGGAGGAAATAATAGTTAATAAAATCGGTCGGTGCAATAAATGCACTACGGTCAAGCGGACAATAAAAAGTTCAACAGAACACCACCGATATTTAAGAAGAAAAAATACTAGCTAAAAATCAAGAGGAAAAACTAATAAACATTTTGAAAAACTAACATCTGCTTTGGAATTGGACTAATTTGAATTCATGTCAATTAGTCCTTTTTGTAAAGAGCTGTGTACCATAAGCGATAGGGGTGTTCATAAAAACCCGAAAAATCGAACCAAGCCGACCAAAAAAATCGGTACTTTTTTGTTTTGTTTTGTTTTGTTTTGTTTTGGTTTTGAATTTTAAAACCGATCAAATTTGGTTGGTTTTGGTTTTAATCAGAAAAAAACCGAACCAAACTGACTATAGGAGTAGCTATTTCAAATTTATTATTACACCTATATATATGTATATTGTTATACAAAGTTTCAAAAATTTATGGTAAATGTTAATAGTTTGCACTTTTAATATAGTTCTTTACCTTTACATTCTAGTTTGATTGGTAGTTTTCTTTTGTTTAGTGTAAGAATCCATTTTGTGTTAAAAATAACATATTTTTAATTGAGTCCTTAAATTATTCATCACTATTTAATTCAATTATCATCAATATATCTTGATAAATAATAGATTTCTCAAAGGGCATTTGATTTAATAGTGTTACATTGAAAATGTGGTCGCCATAATATGTGTTTGGTAGTGTATGTCGTATATTTAAGAAAAAAACCGACAAATAACGAAAAAACCGAAAAACCGACATAAACCGAATCGAGAAAAACCGACTTAATTGGTTTGGTTTGGTTCTAATATTTGAAAAACCGACTTACTTGGTTTGCAGAGGCGGAGCCAGGATTTCAAGCTTATGGGTACGGGATTCTAATCGTTTTAAGTTACTGGGTTCTAAATTAATAATTTATACATATTCAATAAATTTTTGAAATAAATAAGGATTTGAATGAAAGCTATTGGGTTCGGCCAACCCGCTGGCGGCACTCTAGCTCCGCCTCTGTTGGTTTGGTTTATTTTTAGGAAAAAACCGATCCAAAATAAATTATATTTATCATATAGTATACATCAATTAATTATTTTAAATTTAAGCAATTAGATAGGCAATTATTTAGGTGAGTTCTTCTAATTATGTATTCATATCGTAATTTAACTAGTTGTGTTGGTGTGATCTATAAGTCATTGATCTAGTCGTGGAAACCTTCCTGAATAGGAGATATTTGTACAATATTTTGTACAATTGTTGGAATATCATAATATTCTTAATTCAGTCACCTCCTTCCACGTCTACGTAGGAAACACCACCATAAATATCCCAACGCTTTTCCTTTCTTTTCCCTTCGTCTTCCTAATTCCTCCTCCAAATTTCTATCTCCCAAAAGAAAAACTCTTGGTTCAATTTCATTTCTCAAAATCCCAATTCTCTCTCCAGATCAAACAATTCTTCATTTAACTGAATTTAAGAATTTCTTAGAATTGTTTCTGTTCTGATCAGGAGAGAGAATTTTTTACATTTCGATCCCCATTTTTGGTGTTTTTGCCCTTTTTACCCTTATCGCTTTTATGTGTGATACGCATGTGTTCTAATTCTAATCACTTCATTACTTTCTTTTTAATCTTTCTTCTCCATTTTTCCCCTCAGATTTTCAATTTTAGGAGTAATTATTGTAGTATCAACAACTCATTAATACTGAGAGATTCTTATTAAGATAAGATTTTTAACGGTAATCTTACTTAATCCCATTATTTTTGTTGGGACGATTTCCAATTAATCGCATTTTTAGCCATGGATTCTCAAAACAAGAGTAATCGTCAGCTCCAAAGAGGTTTGTTTCTTTAAAGTTTTAATTTTTAATCTGATTTTCGCTCTTTTAAATTGAAGTTCGTACTTACTTTTGTCGGTGGAAAGATTTTTTTAAAAATGTAAAATGATTTTAAAAGAATCTATTTACAATAGACAACACTTACTCTAAATTCTATATTTATTTCTGCTTGTACTCAAATTCAGTTCGTTTAGTTTTTAACAGTTAAATTTTGTATTATTCGAGCTGAATAAGCCCATTGACGGTTGATTTATCAATTATAGTTTATTTAAAACTGTGTATACTGCAGCATTAGAATGAAAACTTTTGGTTTATTTAATAAAAAATCCACTTTTAATGTTTTCAGCTGGCACGAATATGCTTTTCTAACAGTTTCTGACGCCACCTGTTTTTCGTCCTTTATATCAAGAATAATACTCCCACTCTTTCAAAAAGAATAAACCTATTTCTTTTTAGTTAGTTTTAAAAAAGAATGCCCCTTTCTGAATTTGGAAGGAATCCAATTTTAAACTTCTTATTTTACCCTGAGTGAGATAATTTATAGCCACACAAATATTATCACAAGTTTCAAAAGTTTTTTCTTTTTTCTTAAACTCCGCATATAGTCAAATAGTTTCAAATAAATTGAAATGGAGTACTACTCCCTTTGTCCTAATGTTGTTTGATCGAGTTTAAAACAAACATTATGACTTTTGATATTTGTGGTTTAAAAGGAGTCATAGGTATTTGTGTGACTATAAATCATCTCATGTAAAATGAGAAGCGTAAAGTTAAATTCTTTATCATTCTTCTCGGACAGACTAAAAAAATCACATAAATTGGGATGGAGGGAGTAATGCTTAAGTCTAGAATTTCTATGCTGGAGCAGGTCTGGACCATGTCAGTAAACAACATTTTGGTTTTATTGGATTAAAAAATTGCTTTTGAAGTTTTCAACTTGTAAGGAATATGCTTGTAAATGGGTTTCTGTCAATGTGACGCTGCATATTTTTCATCCTCTATATCAAGAATAATACTGACCCCAATTCCTGTGACGTAGTTGTTGCTTTTACTATATCAAGATTAATAACGCGGTACTAGTAGATTTTCTATCTCTGGACCAGGTTTATAACATGCGCAAACCTTTTTACTGCTTAACCGCCATTTAGAAGATGCTTTGTCCTTGTTTGTTTCCCGAATTAGCAGCTATCCTGCTTATCGAAGAGGCAATGTTTGCTAAATTTAGCATAAATGAGTTCCTGATTAAAACTGAGACACGGGACAAGACATCCGATAATTACAGTCCTTTCATGTTTTGGAATCCGAAGCACGTGAATCATTAAAAAAAAAATGCAAGCATTAGACCAGCTCGTATTTTGCTTGTACTAATACAAAATTTTGTCTCTTTCTGTTTTGGCTGTCTATATGATCATTTCAAACATGAATTTATACATTTCTGTGTCTGATCTTATGGATGCTTATTATCATTTTCTCGGTAAAAAACTTTATTAAGTGAGTTGTTGTTTTCTCCCTAGCTCCCTGCTTCTCAAATGTTGGACGGAGATATGTGGCCTCGCCATCTGTCATTGTAATAGGTGGTGGGATGGCAGGCCTTGCAGCTGCTCGTACTCTTCAGGATGAGTCATTTCAGGTATTGCCAGTAAATATGTATTAGTAGAAATATGACTATTTTATGGTTTTTTATTTACTATAATGGTGATGGTGGAAAGGGGAGCCCTGGGCGTAACTGGTAAAGTAGTTGCCATGTGACCGGGAGGTCACGGGTTCGAGCTGTGGAAACAGTTTCTTGCAGAAATGCAGGGTAAGGCTGCGTATGATAGACCCTTGTGGTCCGGCCCTTCCCCGGACCCCGCGCATAGTGCACCGGGCTGCCCTTTCTTTTTTTAATGGTGATGGTGGATGTGCATCATGAAGTTAATATTCTCTTGCAGGTAGTTGTGTTAGAATCACGAGATAGAATTGGAGGCCGAGTTCACACTGATTACTCTTTTGGTTTTCCTGTTGACTTGGGTGCATCATGGTAGTGAATTGTTGTTTTTTGAAATTATGACTTGTATGTTTATTACACGGTAAACATATGCATTTTGCTTCCGATGGATGTTAAGATTTTAACTGGTATAGGTTACATGGTGTCTGCAAAGAGAATCCTTTGGCACCTCTTATTGGAAAACTAGGATTGCCTCTCTATCGTACAAGTGGTGACAATTCAGTCCTGTACGACCATGATCTGGAAAGGTTTGTCCTCTAAGCTCTCCTTGCCTTTCATGCGTGTATTTAATATGCATCAAATCCATGCATAAATACTTACATGATCAAGTTGATATGCTTCTACATGTCATTATGTGCAAGTCTGGAAACATTAGTGATTGCTAATTTTGGGGTCGTGACCTTTCTAATCATGTATAATAATCAACTAACATATCTTTCTATTCTCCAGTTATGGGCTTTTTGACATGGATGGAAATCAAGTTTGTCAGGACTTAGTTGCAAAGGTTGGCGAGACATTTGAGAGCATTTTGAAGGAGGTATGTTCACCCTTTTTTCCACCCACTTTATTTCTGAGTCATGATTTATGAAATATCTAACTCTTTCCGAGTTTCGTAAGGAAAGGATCCTTCTTCCATGTCTTTAAAGTATGTGTATTGTGGACATTTTCTGACTATGAGCTGACTCGCTTTGTCTGCAGACTGATCAAATTAGGCGAGAATCCAGTGAAGACATGTCTATCAGTCGTGCTATATCAATTGTTTTTGAAAGGAGACCCGATTTAAGGTCCTGCTTAATTCTGTTTGTTGACATATTGACCCAACTCCCCGAATCACCCAAAGAGGAAAAAAGAGCATTAAAATTTTTACTAAGTGAAAATTGTTAATACAGGTTGAGTGGCCTTGCTCATAAGGTGTTGCAGTGGTACCTATGCAGAATGGAAGGCTGGTTTGCCGCGGATGCAGATACCATATCACTCAAGTGTTGGGACCAGGTTGGTTTCCTTGCCTCCTTTTGACAGAGTTAACTTGTTGGAGGAATGCTCACCTTCTCATTGACAATTGTCTTTCATAGGCACTTGAACTGGTTATAGGAACTTGCTGATGTTAGAAATGGTCTTACCGTAGTGTACACCTGAAAAGACAGCGTGTTCAGATTCTATAACTCCTGTTACCATATGGTGTCTGTGTCAGCTGTCTAGTGTAGGTAATAAGTAAGATATCTGGGGATGAGGAAAAGAAGTTACTTTTTGACAATATAGAGTACAAATGATATTAGTGAGCAGAATGCTTGGCTGAGGGATTGGAGTTGTCAATATAGTCATTTAATGTTTCATGAAGAAGCTAGCAGTATATGCTTGACCAAAATGATTAAATAGCTTCAGTCCAGGAAAAATGCCTTAGGCATCATCTGCAATTCCATGTCCTGAGCTGACAACTAGCTCTGGCGACTTATGTCCACAATTTTATGCCTAAAGCTAGTTTTATCTTTGTTAAAAGCTTTACACCCCAGATTCTCCTTCAATCGCACAAGCTCTTCATGTCAGGATGTCCAGAATGTCTGGCTCATGTCTAAAAGATAATAATATTATATGCAATTCTCACTTCTTAAAGGATTCAAGTTAATTTAAATTATGGTATGATGACCCCCTATAACACTAACTGATCAACTACTGAAGTTTTTCTTCTATTGTTACAAATACAGTAAGTCATTAAGCTCTATGCCTAGTCAAATTATATCATACAAAATAGGAGAAAAGAAATTGATTGATTCAACGTTTGAATTCTATTCGTAGCTGGTCTTGTCGGTAGCTGAGGATATAGGTGACATTGACTAATGAAGCTTTTTAACTTCCCTACTAGGATCATGAGTACCATGGAGGAGTAGTGTTATGTGTCATGAGCTGAATTAAACTTTCTAAAACATCCATCCTTTGTTTTCTTTTTCTGGTTTTTTAGCATCCAGTCTTCCTCATTTTAATTTTGAATAACTTCTTTGTAAGATCAGTCCACTGGTATATTGCTGCATTTTTCTATATGAAGCAATTTGACATGAAAAGATAATATTTAAGTCTTGCAACTTATTAGTAGAAAATGTAAAACCCCAGTAGGCACCTCTAATAAATGTGAAGGGATCATCACATCAGCTCAACCAAGCTTAGATCTCCTTATAGCTGTGTCAGAAGAATCAGTACATAAGAAGTCTGAAGCTCTGAAATGTCTCTTCTATAAAGAATATGTATTTTAATTATATGCTCCCCTATTGGTCATTTGACAAGAAAAACATCAAACAGCAAGAGTGTAGTTTATAGTCCTTGAAAAAGTTGTTTAAAGTGTTGCCTTACAGATTCATGATTTTTATATACAGGAAGAATTGCTTCCTGGTGGGCATGGTCTTATGGTCCGGGGATATAAGCCTGTCATCAATACACTAGCAAAAGGGCTTGACATTCGGTTAGGTCACAGGTAAAGAACATCTCCTTGACATCCCACCCCCACCCCCTGCTGGAAACAAAGGACACTAGCAGTTCCTATAACTCATTTGGTCTTGGAATCATTCCTCAGGGTTACAGAAGTTGTTAGACGTTATAATGGTGTGAAGGTAACAGTTGAGGATGGGAGTTCTTTTGTAGCCGATGCTGCCATTATTGCTGTTCCACTTGGTGTTCTAAAATCAAATTGCATCAAGTTTGAACCAAGATTACCTGAATGGAAAGAGGCCGCCATTAAAGAACTTGGTGTAGGAATTGAGAACAAGATTATTTTGCACTTTCAAGACGTGTTCTGGCCAAATGTTGAGTTCTTGGGAGTAGTTGCAGAAAGCTCATATGAGTGCAGTTACTTTCTTAATCTTCACAAGGCTACTGGCCATCCTGTCCTTGTTTATATGCCTGCTGGACAACTGGCCCGCGATATTGGGGAACTGTCAGATGAGGCTGCTGCTAATTTCGCATTTAAGCAACTTAAGAGAATCCTTCCTAATGCGACTGCTCCAGTAATGTTACACTTTCTTTCTTGCTCCAATGCATATTTTTTGGGTTTTACATTTTTCGTGTTGCTCTGAAAATTCTCTTCTCTATTTTGTTTTCTCAGCATCGTTCTGTGAATTAACTCTTTATCATACAATGTTGGTTTGCCGCTAACTCAAGATGTTAGTGGCTGACACGTTTTAGTAGCGGAAATCTTCCTCTAGTTTATTTGTTCTCTGGATGTTCAAGAAGCATGATTAAATGTCTGAAGCATCATGATCTTTCTTTAACCCATTAGTAGTTTTTTTGGTCGAATATGATGCTTCTGAATCAAATAGTACAAAGTTCTAGAAATTTTGTCTTAAACCAATATGTAAAGAAGATCTGTACAAATTGTCTTACCCTTGTTTGTGATTTGCGCTGACTTTAATGTACTTGTGAATAAGTGGGATTTTCTTGCAAGAAAAGCATTTGACTGGTTTAAGATATCATACAAAGGACTGTTGAAGCAATTTATTCTGAGTAGTCCTTTCCTGTTACATCGTTGTAATTATGTTTTTATGAAAGTTATATTATCCTAATAATGACAGTATCTCACTCTATTTATTCTCCTGGTCGTGGTGCAGATTCAGTATCTTGTTTCTCATTGGGGTACAGACATAAACTCACTGGGATCATATAGCTATGATACAGTTGGGAAGCCCCATGATCTATATGAAAGGCTGAGAGTACCAGTGGATAACCTATTCTTTGCTGGGGAGGCAACGAGTACAGATTACCCAGGTTCTGTACATGGTGCATATTCAACTGGATTGCTGGCTGCTGAGGACTGCAGGATGCGTGTCCTGGAGCGACATGGAGAGTTGGATATTTTCGAGCCAGTCATGGGTGAGGAAACACTTATTCCCATTTTGATTTCCAGATTGTAACTCGTAGGTTCAGCTATACAGAAACAGAAACATTATGAATTAGTTGCCATATGGGATTGAGTTGACACAATGTGGCTGGCTGCTTAGCGATAAATTATTGAAATCACACGGTTTTTAAATGAATTTTCAGCATCAGCTAACATGAGTAGTCTCTCCCTCGGTGAACTAGGTAATAGAGGACATTTTTGTAATATGGTGCTATAGCTGTGAATTGCAGCTTGTAGTGACACTGAGTTATACCTCTGTGAATTTTTGTGTTTAAGAAGATTATTTTATGAATACTTTAATTTTGCATAATGAGGTGCATTGGTGATTCATTTCCCAGGTTTCTTTTCATTTTGGCAAATGTCACTAATCATTTCGTTTTTTCATCTCTCATCACATATATAGTAAGTTTCATTAATCTTTTGGTAAACTTCAACTACCAAATACTGAAAATACTTGATAACAAAATACTTGCTGGGGCTTGAAGAATTTGTGACTAAGTTTTCAAGGAAAATTTATGCATTTTGATGTGAAAGCAAGCACTCATTGTCAAAATGTTTGTTGATCGTCATGAGGTTGTGAGCAGAAACTATCATCAACGGCTGTCTGCAAGATCTTCACTTTCTCTATTTCCAGCTTCCTTTAAGCGCGCAGCAGCTTTTGCAACCTACATTTCAGTTGAGAATTTGTAGTAACATGTATAGTTGAGACTGCATTCTGGATTTATAGTCAGTGAGTTTATAATCAAACGCGAACACATACATGCACACAAGCATAAAAGTTTTTTGCATATGTAACTTATAGTTTTTTGCATATGTAACTTATGGATTGAGCTGAAAGCAATGGATTCAGTTGAATTCACGGAACCATTAGCTAATGCCAATGTCGGGCGAGTTTGAAGTAATGACAATGGAGCAGCAAAGTTACCTCAGTATTCCAGTTTGTTCTGGCAGTTAAAATAGATAATGTGAATGTCTGTAGGATAACTCCTGCAATCATACCCCACCATATTCCCTGAAAGGAAAACCATAGTGATTTTGTATGTGTGTAGGCAAAATGTCAGAAAAGGTGGAGAAACAGAATTTCTGAATATCCAATTTTGTTAAGAAGAAAAAAAAAATGAAAAAAAAACTCACTTCTTCTTGTAAACTTGTTTTGAAGCCAAGAATGCATCCAATGGGGAGGCCAATAAAATAATAAGTAGCTAGATTGACATATGCTACCACTGCTTGCCATCCACTGCCAACAGCCACACCTAGGATTTGCAAGAAATTATGAGAATCCACTGCTTGACTTAGATTCAAGAAAACTTAGAATTTAACATAAGATTTAAGTGATATACACCAACCCTAAATAGTTTTCACACTACCAGAATAGCTTAACCTGTTATAGCAAGTAACTTACTAGAATAGTTTAACCTGTTATAGCAAGTAACTTAATATTCCTTTTAGTTACCGATCAATATAATTATAAATTATGTTGCTTGTATCCTCTAAAAATATTGCAACAGCTGTGAAGGATCCTCCAAAAGGTGCACTATTTTTTTAGGATCAGACACAGTTGCGGCAGAACAAAGACTATAAAGGTACCATTTCAAATAACATGATTCCGTAAATATTTTTACACTATCAGTGCATATAACTTATAGTAACCTTTACTAAATTGGTTCTTCAAAGAGCAAGAATTGCTAGAGCTTCTTTACCAGAGAGAATAGGTTGAATGCCATTCAACCAAACAGAAATGGCAAGTAGTGGAGTTAAATTGGAGACAGCTTCAATGACTTGAGTGTCACTTGTAAAGAGTTTGCTTAATCCAATCCTGAATATCAGCACAACAATGCAGAGAACTGTACTGATCAAGATACTTGTCAAGCTCACTATGATCACTGAAAACTTGGCAACTCTTGGATGTCCTGCTCCAAGCTCATTACTAACTCGAACGCTGCAAATATGAGTATTACCAGTACATACTATTGAATGATGTTCTTTAGCTGCCAAATGAACCGATTCTTTAAGCGTATACTGTAATATACCTGGCTGCAGCTCCTAGTCCCAACGCGACTTGCATATCCCAGTTCCAGTAATTCATGCTGTTATTGTCACTAGCAGTTGTGAGCCTGAACAAGTAATTTGAAGAAACAGAACAAAAAAAGAAGTTTTTCTTTCTTTTACCAGATAGAGATGGAGTCTAATGAGATTGTAGAATTTGGAAGGAGGCCTGATACAAGCACTAGTCCTTGGGAGTACCATATCTCCAAGCTACATTCAGAAAAGAATTAGTAAAAATTATTACTACTTGACCATAAATTTTACAAAAGCCAGTGTATACTAGTGGCTGCACTAAGTGGTCCTTGGCCGAGCACAATTTGCACGTCACATATGAAACCGGCCCAGCCGCTTACTTAAAGAACCAGGTCGGTTAATGCATGAGGCGGGCCGGGCCAGTTAAGGGGGTCGACTTAACTGAGCCGGGTTTTGGGTCGGCCCAGGCCACTTGACAGGTCTAGTATTTGAGAGGGAAAGGGGTTCTGGAATATCTGAACTAACCATAACATGACAGCTGAGGCAACAGTTAGCTTGAAGTAAGGCCAAATGCTTTTGAAAGCATCAGTAGAGAGACCAGTCCAAGTTTCCTTGCATAAAGGACTAAAATTTATATAAAGATATTGTGCAACGACCAACAGCCACCACGAGAAGCTCTGCGCGAGAGAAGCTCCGAGAAGACCATATCCCAAGACATCAACCACTAGCCAAGTAACCAGAACATGCACAACGAACACGGCGACAGCTATATAAGCCATAGGATTGACAATGTTCTGTGCCTGCAGAAACCTCTGCATCGGGCAACTTATAGCAAATGCATAAAGCTGAAGGATCAACCCACGGGCGAATAATTCGCCTTGTTCAGAAATAGTGTCTGATTGGCCTATTGCTTTAAGAAGTGGCCCTGAGAACCAATAAGGAAATGAGAGGAGAAATGCTGCTCCAAGATGCAATATAATTGCTCTCTGGCATATTACTCCCATAACTGCATATCTTTTTGCTCCATATGCTTGCCCACAAACTGTCTCAACTGCACTTGCCATACCTAACTGTTGAAACATTTTAGGAAATACAATACCAGAAAGTAAGAAGAAAGACTTTGACGCGTGAAATAATCACTATCCTTAAAGAATAATATTGCGTGCATATTGTTTAGGTGTTCCTTTTATCTTTCCTAAGCTGAGGGTCTACCGGAAACAGCCTTTCTCCCCAAAGGTAGGAGCAAGGTCTGCGTACATACCACCCTCCTCAGACCCCACTTGCGGGATTACACTAGGTTTGTTATTGTTGTTGCATATCATTTAGGTGGGTACAAACAAGTTTCTTCAGGATACAACAATGCCAAGCTAACCAACTTAGCCATTGTTCAGAAAAATCAGAATTTATAGAAGTGAAACCAGGTCTACTTTTAACAGATATATTATTTCATGAGCAGACATACTCGTCGATTCCCCCTTTATATATATTACAAACTATCTAACAAAACCAACTCTATTAAGTGATCAAGTGGTAAAAGTAAAACCTAGCAAAGTTTGCGAAGTCAAAAGTTGTACAATAGAGGTGAATCAAGGATTTGAAAGATGCAGGTGTATCATTTATTAATTATATTACCACTCAATAATCTTTATAACTTTTTATAACATATAAATGTATTGACTGTGTCGCGCTTATGCTAGATTAGCAGTTACTGATCAACTAAAACAAAAGCATACATATAAAAAGGAACAAAAGAAATACCATAACACCATAAGCAAAGCCTTGAATTCCCACACTAACAATGGAAGCAGCAGCTAATTCCAATGAACCAAAATGTCCAACAAACATGAGTGTAACAAAACCAAGCATGTAGTTAAAAATCAAGACTATAATAACAGCCCCTGATAGAAGCCAAAGTAGCCTTGATTCCCATGCAAACAACTTGAAATACCCTTTAAAAGACACATTCTTGTGTTCCAAGAATTCTTCGATTTCGTCCGACGACATGTCTGATAACTTAGTTGTCATGTCAAGTATACTAGGTAATAATGGCTGGTCCTCCATTAGTCCTGTTTCTTCCTGTCTTTGTCTCTTAACAATGTACCCTTTATATGCATTTAAAGGAACAGAATTTGAGTAGATATAAATATTTTTGTACAAAATTCACTAAGGTGAACAGGTGCAACTACCAGTCCTGTTTGAGACTAAGGTATAGATTAGTATTTGACCTTTTTCTTCTGTTTTTCTTTATTTTTTACCATGAAAAGGGTAGCTAGTCAAACCAGTGTATTTGTAAGTATTTTTATAGGTCAGTTGGAAGCTTAGGTATGGATCCTCTTAACTTAAAAAGAGTGGTGAAAAAAGTTAGGTGCAAAGGACACAGATCTAGTGGTTGATACTATTAGGAGTTTGGCTGGAGCATGAGTATATATAACGGGGGGCCCAACATTGAATAACAAAACAGCAGGGACCGATGGGTCTGGCTGTGATACCATGTGCAGAAATTATCTGTGGAAGTTCATAAACATTAACCAAAGAGACCCTGATTAGTGAACCTACCAGAAACAAGCAATGTGAATCAAGAAAATAATATTGACAAATATTCCCATCTTCAAAAATTTTATAAAATAAATAAATGTGCCCCTAAATCATCAGAAAATGTAAGACTCAATGTTTCTCACATCAGATGTGTCCAGTGGCGTACGTAGAATATTTCATAAGCGGTGTCACAATTTTAAAAAATAGACTAATGACAAATTACTATAACGATAAAAATTATCATTTTTTATATTTTTCTTATGCATATCTAGTAAAAAAATTTGACAAAGCGGTATCCCGTGATACCGCATGCAAGAAGGTGCATACGCATCTGGATGTGCCCTTGGGCCTGCAGGGCACTTCATGGTCTTTTGCCTCTTCTAAGTTTGGTAAATATAGCCTTGAAACTAAAATCCTATTTCATTATACTTCTGCATTAGGTCAATAACCATGATTATTGCTACCGAAAAAGTCTACTGGGCAGCTGAAAGTATAAGAGGGGGGTGAATTGTCGATTTTTCTTTTTGTATCCTGATGATAGGCTATAATTGCGCATTTTAGTCGCTTATTACACTCTAATGTACTGCACTTTAATTGAGTTTGAGCTTTAATCGCTAGTGTTTTGCACTAATTGTGTATTTTATGCCTTGTAGGAGTGATTGCGAGCTATGTAAACATTATGGAATGAATTCAAGTGATTTGGAGCTTCGAAGTCTGAGTAAAAGCCCAAGGAATCAAGTTGGGATCGTGTTCGGGGATCAACGGATGATAGTTAATAACGAAACGAAGAATCGAGCGGGCATACGACACATTGTCTAGTAAAATGCACATAACTTTTGGCTCAGAACTGTATTTGGGCTCCACAATATATTGTTGGAAGGCTATTTGAAATTGCTACAACTTTCATGTTTTGCATTTTCGTGAATTCCCACTACTGCAGCACGTGGAGTGGCGCGGGACGCGCCGCGCCTGTGAAAAATTCCTGCAGCCTGTCAGAATCATCTCTTTGAACTTTCCCACAATCACACCGCATGGCGCGTCGCCCAATGCGGCGCGGTAGTGCAAATTTTACAGAGTGATTGTCCTATTTCTTGCAGGAAAAGATGTTTCGTCTGGGCCCGGCCCTATTGCCGCGCCCCCTTTTTCTCGCGAAATCGGATTTATGACATTTGGGAAGACAACTCGTTCCCTTTTGGGAATTGAGTTTTGAATTGAAGAGTCACCACCTAATGATTTAAGTGCATTAGGACACTAAGAAGGGTTTGAGTCAAGTAACCAGAGATTGGGTAAGGGCTTGCAATTATCCCAAGGGGAAGGTGTTAGGCACCCCTCAGGATCCACTAGTGTGGTTCCCGGCCAAACTATTGTTGTGACTTAAATGCAAATAACACATAGGCAAGTAAGAGTTTCAAATAAGAGGGGATTTTCATGTAATGGTCACAAATAAACAAAGTTAGAAAGAAAGAAAGGGAGTTGATTTTCTTAGAAGAAATGGTTTTAAAAGATTTAAAAGAAACAAAGAACAAAGGGAAAGAGGGTCCTAGGTTTATTAATAATATGGATCACCCCACATAACATCCGAATAATCACTCCTCAATGAGGGGCTACACGTGATGTTATCGCGTGGTCATCATATCCATATCTACCCTTTTCCCACCCCGTTAAGGTATTAAAGCGCGGAATGGTCTCATTTACCTATTGCATGCTATTACCCTCCCCAATCCTATCAGCCCCGGAGGTACTTGGAACTACTAATCCTAAAGGGAGGAGATATTGGCTTATTTGTGGTTTCAAAAGGTAAAATACTAAAGCGACAGGCAAAAACACGTATAGCAAGTTGGGGGGAAGCACATAACAAGTAAAAGGCTCAGATATACCTCCTTTGACAGAGAAGCACATAATTTTAGCACGACTTGCACATACTGTTTAGGGTCTGATTAAAACTTAAAGGTTGAGGCAGACTGATTTATTACATAGTTCAGATAAGAAGCCCAAAGCAGGCCTACCTTTGGTTGTAGCTAATAAAAATCTGATCAGTTTATAATTTTACCCTAAGGCTTGCCTAAGTGTTGAATGAGGGTCCTATAGGCATGATATCTACTGATTTTTAGAAACAATGAAATAAAATGAATACATACTGATATAAGAAAGTCGCCAGTTATTAAAGAAAGCAATTTTTAGCAAAAGGTTATAGGTTCTGCAAATGGTGGTCGTCATTATTACTGGTTTTAGACTTATAAGCGAGTGAAGCGATTCAGACTTGATTAATAGCTCCTATAGACATGCCTTCTATGCGTTGTTGACTTTAAACCCTTTCATAGACATAGTAAAATGCAGAAAACCTATAAGCATGATATCTAGGTGCTGAATTTTATTTAACCTATGAACATGATATCTAATTGCAGTTGACTGATTAAGACCTATAAATATGATTGCCTAATGAAGAATGGATATACGAGATTCAGAAAGACCTATAGGCATATTCTCTATATGCATATGCAGAATTCCGATTTCCAGGTAATTATGGACATAGTATCTATATGAGAGAATGCAGAATTCCTACGGACATGGTATCTATGTGTGAAATGTAGAATTCAGGAATGTCTATAGGCATGTTATCTATATGAAAGTGCAGAAATTAAGAAACTCCTATAGGCAAGTTATCTACATGAGGGTGCAGAAATTCAGAAATAACCTATAGGCAAATTATCTATATGAGAATGCAGAAATTCAGAAACTTCTATTGGCAGGATATCTAACCCTTTGCATACATGGTTACCCCTCCCTTTTTCACTAGCCATCCCCGAGAGTTTTATTACAAAGTTATTACAGCCCAGAAAAAAGAAGTAAAGAAAATACATCAGAAATTAAAAAGGTACAACCAAGGAGAGCCTGATTCAGGCTTCCTGTCTGAAGTATGAAGTAAACCAACTCCAAGAGATCAATGTTTCAAAGCCTTTCTCCCATTTGGGGTGTGTCAAAGTTCCCTAAGGGTCTCATATGAACTTCGGGCAGTGCTTACACCCAAATGTATCACCAGATTAAGATATAGTGCAGCGTGAAATTCTGAAAGGAGAAAGGGAAAAGGGAAACCGCTTAAATCAGTACACATAAGGGTATAGGGGAATGGGGGAGTTGCAAGAGGCAAAAAGGGCAGGTTGATGGGCATACCCAGCAATGGGAGATGCTGGCACACCCTTAGGCCTGTCAGAACATATTGTTTAGAGGTTAAGATCCCATCGATCAAACCTAATTCATGGACAACAACTTACATTGCCATGCCTTAAGTCATAACTCAAAACACATAGGGGGTAATAGGGGAATGAGGGTTCATAACAAACAAACAGAAGGAAATCAACATGCCAATTTAACTGCTGAGATATACAGAAACAACAAGCAAACATGGACACACAAGCAGTAAATACACATTGTTGTAGTGCTAAAAATTAAATCCGGACATACCAGTTTCAGAGAAACAAACAAAGAAAAAACAGTAGATCTTGTGAACGGGCCACAGTGCAGATAAGAAGAGAATATTTTTGTGTGTAAGTATGAATTCAGAAGAGGTTGTGAATTGTGAAGTGAAGGATTGTAAATCCTGTGTGATGTGTGTTAAAGAGTCGTGCATTTATAGTGTTGAAAACCAGGCAGAAATAAGGTAAGAAAATAGTTAAGGAACTGATTGTCAATTAAGCATCAATTACACAAGACTTCCCTTTAATTAAGGGATTCGGATTCAAACGGGTAAAACAATTTAAGGAAAGAAATTGAATAAGCCTTTGTGCAAAGCATGTAATTAAGGGCAAATACATAAAAGGTTATTTAAGGACAGGGTTTTTGAAGTACACGGTTGTACAAATAAGGTAAGAAAATCAATTAACAACCAGTAAATCAAAAAATCAAGGATCTTGTAATTACTGACCCATGAATGAACCAAGTCGCAAAAGCTGAGAAGGGTTTTAACTTAGGTCGAGTCACAGAGAGAATCAGCAAACAAGGAAAGAAAAATCAATCAGACATACTCAAAAGGAAGTCTGAACTAATCACAAATTTGAAAATCATTCATTGCATATAAAGAGCATATAGACATGTCAATCATGAAAGAGGATGTTGTGTTATTGTAAAAATCAGTAGAAAATAGATCACAGAAGCGTAGTTGTCACATAGGTCAGCAAAAGTAGATGAGAAGTATCGTTTAGCAGCATACAAAGGCTCCGATGTACAGTTCTTAGAAGAGTTTAGCAAAAGCTGGAATCATGTGAAAAACAAGTGTTTTGAAACTCATTTCAGAGACTCGAAATAGGTTCAGAGGTCTCAGAAAGAACTGAAACCTCTACCATGTTCTTCTCAGCAACTGAAACTGAGAAACATGATAGAAAGGCAACATGCAGAGCACAGTAGAAGAGCTCAAAGAAAAATAGAGTAGATGAAACTAACACGAAACAAAAAAAATGGAAAAAATGATAAGATCAGTAGCAGAAACATGCTGAGAAGTTTAATAAGGAAACTTAAGAACATAGTAATGGAAATATAGTAGGAGAAACATATCAGAACACAGTAGAGAAGATACATTGGAGAAATCATACGAAAACACAGTATACGGAAATACAGCAGAAGAAGCATGTAAGAACATGGTAGGAGAAAATATAAGA